TGTGTGTGTGTGTGTATTGTGGTGGGGTCACCTGCAGTGCAACATGACCCCAAGATCCTGGTTGAGGCCGTCCTCATGGGGACCGAGCTTGACTATCAGCCACTGCTCGGTGACTCTGTGTTGTTGTGTATCCCGAAGTCTGCCTTTACAACATTTACCTGAAGATCCGAGGCCGAATGTCCTTGACCGCTGAAGTGTTCCCCGACTGGGAGGGAACATCCCTGCCTGGCGATGGTTGCACAGTATCCATTCCTCTGTTGTCTTAGTGCCTGAATGGTTTTGCCAATATACCTTGCCTCGGGGTATTCTTGCCTGCAGCGAATGAGATAGACAATGCTGGCTGAGTCACATGAGTATCTGCGGTGCACATAGTGGGTGATGTTCCCACGTGCGATGGTAGTGTTCATGTCGATGATCTCACATGTCCGACAGAGGTTGCCATGACAAAGTTGGATAGTGTTGTGGTCGATGTTGTCCTGAAGGCTGGGTATTTTGCTGCGAACAATGGTCTGTTTAAAGTTTGGCGGTTGTTTGAAGGCGAAAAGTGCAGGCGTGGGGAAGATCTTGGCGAGGTATTCAATGTTATCGATAATGTGTTGAAGGCTGTGAAGAACATTGCGTAGTTTCTCCACTCCCAGGAAGTACTGGACGAGGAAGAGTTGCCCAACGAACGTATCCCATATCTGTCGTCTGAGGAGGTCATTACAGTTTCTCACTGCGGCATGTCAGAACTGGCGATCGATGAGTTGAGCATTATATCCCGTTCTTATGAGGGCATCCTTTAACACCAACAGACATGCGCGCGCGCGCGCACACACACACACACACACACACACACACACTCTCTCTCCCTCTTATACGCGTGCACACACACACACGTACACTAACACACTCTCTCTCCCTCTTATATGCGTGCACACACACGTATAAATCTATGGAGTGAATTTGCATTTGCAGAATTGTAATTGCAGATACATTCTATTTTGTTCAAAAGTACACAATTTGTATAGAGTCAATGTGGCATTTTATAAATTCTTACTTTGGAAATAAAACCAGTCTGACTTCAAATTAATAAACAGCCAGATTCTAAACAAGGTCTCACACCTAAAATGCATTGTCTGACCTGAGATATCACCTCTGATATACTGATAAAATGTTTAGTTATCTTGGTGCAGTGACTTGTAAGAAATTCTGCGATTTGCATTTTAATCCTTTCCAACCAATTAAAGATTTATCAGCCATCTTAGATTAGTTCAATACATTTGCATCAGTTCTATGACGCTTTGATCTTTTGCTTATAAATTCTATATCTGATGCCACCTCTCTCACTGACAGCTGAAGAAGGAGCGAGACTCCGAAAGATTGTGTCTTCAAATAAACCTGTTGGACATGTGCAGAGTGAGACACTGGTGGAGTTGCATGACCAGATCTGCCCTGATGGAATAGGGATGTGTCATCACCATTCTAAGACAAGGGTGTCTCCCAACCTCAAAGCACAGTTTGACAATGGGAATCCCAGAACAGCTGACTAGGGCTCATCATAACACATTGGTGCCAAAGGGTGGAATTTTCTACTTGCTTTAGCAACAAGGGCAATCGCACATATATTGGGAAAATACAGTAAAAATGGAAAAGTCAGATTCTTGATATGGAGAAAATAATTCTAATTTTTCACCTTAGAGTTTAAGCAGCGAGTTTAGAATCTGGTTAACGAGCAGTGACTACCTTATTTCCATTAATAGCTAATCCTGCTTCATTTCTAAGCAGCTCCCAATTCTCCCCTCCTTCCCTGAGAAACTAAATGCCTCACAGCGCCAGGGACCCAGGTTCAATTCCACCCTCGGGCGACTGTCTGTGTGGAGTTTGCACGTTCTCCCCGTGTCTGCATGGGTTTCCTCCGGGAGCTTCGGATTCCTCCTACAGACCAAAGATGGGCAAGTTAGATTGATTAGCCATGCTAAATTGCCCGATAGTGTCTGGGAATATGCAGGCTGGGTGGGCTAGCCATGGGTAATGCAAGGATAGGGTAGGTGGTGGGTCAGGGTGGCATGCTTTTCAGATGGTTGGTATGGACATGATGGACTGAATGGCCTGCTTCCACACTGCAGGGATTCTATTCAATGTAGATGCCATCAATTCCTGATGTTAAAATCAGAACAGTTACCTGGCAGCAGAAAAGACCACTTGTTGCCCCAGGCTTTCAGAAAGCTCTGTCTTCACCATACTGTGCCTGTATGCTCCATAAACACCATCTTCTTATACCCTCATCCAAACAACTGGGCATCATCAAACCATCAGCCTCACCATATCATCATGCTGCTTTCAGACCAATTTAAACACTCCTGCAGTTCCTCAAGACCCCACTTTGGAGCTCAGGGACACCTAAAACTTGTATACTTCTGTCACATTGCTTTGAATGCAGCGACTTACATACATCTTGTGCATCTACACAGTTTACATGTTACAGCTCATAGATCCTTCTTCACAGTCACTCACCGTGCACTTACTTGAAGGATCCTATCTTGCATTGCTTTTTAGCCCATGGGAAAGAGATGGAAAAATGTCATGATTTAGAGCACTGAACAGTCAAGAGGGTGACAAACTGTTGTATGCCATGGGGTATATCTGTGTCTTACCTACAGCATTTAGCCAATAACTTTCTCAGCAAACACACAGCATGTGCTTCAATCAAACACACACGTGTGAAAATGAAAGGTGACCAGTTCTTATTGGGGTAAAGTTGGAGGATCTGCCATCGTCAGTGAAGGTGCTCATCCAATTCTAGTTGACGAGATGGAAATAATCAGTCCTGTAGGTCAGGTGCAACCAGTCTGGAGATTACACTTTGGGTGCTGCTGAGACATTAGTCCTATGAGTGGGCTATTTTTTCTTGCAATGAGACAAAGGGAGGTAATGAAGGAGCACGAGAGGCAGTGTAGTATCTCCAGTGAGTGAATAGGAAGCCACTAAGGCAGGAAAGCCTGTCCCAAAGCCTGTCCATCATCTACAAGGCACAAGTCAGGAGGGTCATGGAATACTCCCCACTTGCCTGGATGGGCGCAGCCCCAACAATGCTCAAGAGGTTTGACACCATCCAAGACAAAGCTGCCCACTTGATTGGCATCACATTGACAAAAATATACTCCCTCCACCAGCAAAGGTCGGGATCAGAAATACGCACCATTTACAAGATGCACTGAAGAAATTGACAAAGGGTCCTTAGAGAGCCTCTTCCAAACCCTCAACCACTACCTTTTAGGAGAACAATGGCAGCAGTTAATCCATCTACAAATTACTCTCCAAGCTCCTCACCATCCTGAGTTGGGAATATATCATCGTTCTTTGAATATCACTGGTTCAAAATCCTGGAACTCCCTCCCTAATGGCATATCGAGTATACCTACAGCAGATGGACTGAAGTAGTTCACAATGGCAGATCACCATCACTTTCTCACATCAGCTAGGGACAGGCAACAAATACTGGTCCAGCCATGACACCCACGTCCCATGAATGACTGTTTGAAAGAAGTGTTAGTGGTTTGGGAAAATGAGGTGGTTAACAGCCATTTTGTAGCCATGGTACATAAAATGTTGAAACTTGTAGTCCATGAGCGTTGGTGAAAGGTGCACATGGAGCAGAATGGGAGCAAATCATTTAGGCCCATTTCCTCTATATTGCACATGTAATTTGGCACAGAGTCACAGAGATGTACAGCACGCAAACAAACCCTTTGGTCCAACTCATCCATGCTGACCAGATATCCTAAATTAATCTAGTCCCATTTGCCAGCATTTGGCCCATATCCCTCTAAACCCTCCCTATTCATATACCCATCCAGGTGCCTTTTAAATGTTGTAACTGTACCAGCCTCCACCACTTCTTCCGGCAGCTCATTCCATACATGCACCACCCTCTGCGTGAAAATGTTGTCCCTTAGTTCCCTTATAAATCTTTCCCCTCTCACCTTAAACCTATTCCCCCTAGTTTTGGACTCCCCTACCCTGGGGAAATTATCTGACTATTCACCCTATCCATGTTCCCTATGATTTTATAAATTTCTATAAGGTCACCCCTTAGCCTCCGACGCTCCAAGAAAAATAGCCCCAGCCTATTCAGCCTCTCTCTATAACTCAAACCCTCCAACGCTGGCAACATCCTTGTAAATCATTTTTGAACCTTTTCAAGTTTAACAACATATTTGTTATAACAAGAAGAACAGAATTGAACACAGTATTCCAAAAGCGGCCTAACCAATGTTCTATACAGCTGCAACATGACCTCCTGCAAAAATGCTATCTCATACTCCCAATTCCTCCACCTCTGCTGCATCTGCTCCCAGGATGAGGCGTTCCACCCCAGGACATCCCAGATATCCTCCTACTTTAGGGACCATAATTTCCCCTCCTCTGTTATTGAGGATGCCTTCAACAGCATCTCCTCCATTTCTGCCCTCATACCCCCTCCCCCCAACAACAATAAGGATAGAGTCCCTATAGTCCTCATGTACCACCCCACCAACCTCCGAATCTAACACAGCATCCTCCGACATTTGTGCCACCTACAATCAGACCCCACCAGCAAAAAGTTATTTCCCTCTTCATCCTGTCCACTTTCCACAGGGACTGTTCATTCCATGGCTCCCTTGTCAGCTTTACACTCCCCACCAATTTATCCACCACTCCCAGTACCTTTCCCTGCAACCACATGAGGTGCAACACATGCCCCTACACCTCTCCTTTCACCTCCATCTGAGGCCCCAAACAATCCTTCCAGATCAGTTTTTGTTTGTCAATACTCCTTTTAAATGCTAAGCGACATTTCACTAAGCTAAAAGCTTTATGTATAAACAAGCTGTTGTTGTTATGTTTGACAATAGTGAATCATGTCAATGACTGAGTGGTATGGAGACGGTGGGTGTGGATTGTCCATACAATGTGGCATCGTGTAGTAAGGTAAGGAATAACAACCAATTAACCCAAATAAACAGTGGTGTTCTTACCTGCATAGGTCTGGAACATGCTGAGTTTATTCAGGGAAGAAATAAAGTAAGTGTTTGGATTAGGTAAAGACCTGCATGAGAAAAGGACATCTATCAGATCTAAACAATACAGTGCTCCATAGTTTGTCAATTTTAAAACAGTTTTAACCTAATGTCTAATGTTATGAAATAAAGCAAATGCAGTGTAGTTTGGAATATATTGTTTGAAAAGTGAACATTCTTTAGATGCTTGAATAACATGAAACTGTAAATTGTATATAAGTACATAAAAAATATACCATCCCTGTATGTTTACCATCCTGGATGTATATTATATCTAACTAAAAAAGGCTGCTGGAAATCTAAAACAATTAGGGATAGGCAAGCTATTTCCCTGCCAGCTCTATGTTAAAAATGGAAAACCTTCGAAGTTTCTTCACAAGTTAAGATACCCATTGAAAATTAAATTCTATCCTTTGATGACAGTGATAATGTATATGGAGTGTATGAATAGCAAATAATAACTGGTGCTAGGCAATTTCTGCTATATGATATCTTACAGTGTATACACCCTAGTGCATCAACTCACAACACTTGTTGCTATATAATTACTACTGTAGAAAACTTACATTCATACCTTATTACTTTCACTCCATATCTTACCTTCCATGGCCATTGTCCAAAATAAAACTCACATTGTGGTGACCTGAAACAAACATTTATAAGATGATATACTGGACCAATTATTGCATTTAGAATATCACATAGATTACTAATCCAATAAATATGAAACTTACCAACATATGTTCCAGTCATTTTACAAGTCATCGTGCCACTGTCACTGTACACGTTATCAAGTTTCAAACCGTAGCTACAATTATAAAACAAAATCTTGCAGTTATTTAATAATTAATGAAATATTGCCAATACAGCTGTTTTGTACAATTCATTAGTTTAATTTAATGAGTGATTTTACAAAGGAAATCCTTTATTCATGGGCAGGGGTAAACCTTACAACATGTTGTACCCATGCTTCCAGAAAGCCTCTGCTAATGTTCCAGGTGAAATGCTGTCCATCAAACACAAAGGCCTGAATTTCACTAGAAGTTGCTAAGTGTCAATTTCAAGGGATTTCATGTAGGTTTTCTCTCCATGTATTCAGGCAACTTAGTCTTGTAATTCTCCACTGCTCACCTCTTTATGTATGTACCATGCCTCTAAGGAGCTGCTCTTGCGCTAGCTTGTGCTCACCAGTCTCAGAACTACTTGCCATTGCTGGGGCCACCTGGGATTTCTGCTATCAGTTTGCTAAAGTCCAGCTGTTCACCATGTGAAACAGTTCCAGGCAGGAATAGCCAAAATGCAATTTTGCTGTCTTTTAGACCCAGGTAGACAGAAAGCACAGATCAGGTTTCTATACTCCATAAGAATGATTATTCACAATAAATAGTTTCTAGATATGGTTAAAGAATCGTGAACTGTCAACATGTAACTCTATTTGTTAAAAATCTAATCCCCTTCTAAACCCTCCTCGTATACGCCCATACAGACACAGATACGAATAAAAACACAGGTTGTGGGTGAAGGAAGGGCTGGGTAGGCAGTTCAATGGTCCCTGTCAATAGGATTCACTAAGATGATTCTTGTGCTGATCAGATCTTTCTTCTCTGGATACTTTCATCTTGTTTGCAGGAGGCACAGAATGACAGGTTCCAATTTATAAAGATCTTTAACTTGTTCCTTAAAAATCACAGCTTTCAGCAACTGGAAAGTGGAAATGAATTGGTAATCTTCAGGCTTGAGATGCTTTTTTTCACTGCAAAGCAAAACTGGCCCCTTCTCCTCTAGAGGTCTGATTATTTCTGTCATAACATTCATACCCTCAAACTGTTTATTTACCTGGGAGCCAATCACATTGTTCTTGGCACGTCGAAAGCCTTTGCCATTGATAACTGGTCACTAGTCCATAGACCAATCAGCTACATGTTGCCAGCTGGAGATTCATTCCACCACACCCCTGGCTCTAGTCCATCTGCAAACTATGATTCCACTATTACTTGACCAAGCAGCTATGTGGACTGTACTTCCAGTCTACAACTGGTTACTTACTTTCAAAAAGTGCATTATTCCTTTAATAATGATTGGTTTTTAAAACACTTTTTTTCCCAATTTCAGTCCGCCGATGTAGAGGAGGCCACATCAGGAGCAGCGGATACAATAGAGCACATTGATGGATGTGCAGGTGAACCTCTGTCTGATGTGAAAGGTTTGTTTGGTGCCTTGGATGGAGATGAAGGGGGAGGTGTAGGGGCAGGTGTAGCACTTCCTGCGGTTGCAGGGAAAGGTTCTGGGGGTGGTGGGGCAAGTGGGGAGTGTGGAGCGGATGAGGGAGATGCAGAGTGAGCAATCCCTACGAAGGGCAAATAGGGGTGGGGAAGGAAAAATGTCCTTGGTAGTGGGGTCAGATTGCCGGTGGCAGAAGTAGCGGAGAATGATACATTGGGTACGGAGGTTGGTGGGGTGATATGTGAGGACAAGGGGAATTCTGTCTTTGTTTTTGTTTTTGTTTTTGTTGGAGGGAGTTGGTGTGAGGGCAAAGGTGTGGGAGACGCAAGAGATGCTTTTGAGGGCATTTTCAATCACTGGAGGAGGGAAGTTATGGTCCTTGAAATAGGAGGATATCTGGGATGTTCGGGAGTGGAACACCCCATCCTGGGAGCAGATGCGGTAGAGGCAGAGGAATTGGGAGTAGGGGATCACATTCTTGCAGGAATGTGGCTGAGAGGAGGTCTAGTCTAGGTAGCTGTGGGAATTGGTGGGCTTGAAATAGATATCAGTTTCCAGGTGGTCAACACAGAAGGAGACAGAGAGGCCCAGGAAAGAGAGGGTGGTATCAGAGATGGTCCAGGTGAATTTCAAGCTGGGGTGAAAAGTATTAGTAAAGTTGATGAACTGTTCAAGCTCCTTGTGGGAGCACAAGGCAGTGCCAATACCGTCACCGATGTAGTGGAGGAAGAGGTGGGGGATAGTGCCAACGTAGCAGTGGAAGGATACGTAGAATAGACAGAATCATTTCTGAAAAAGGGTCCCGACCCGAAATGTCAACTTTCCTGCTCTTCTGATGCTGCCTGGCCTGCTGTGTTCCTCCAGCTCCACACTGTGTTATCTCTGACTCCAGCATCAACAGTTCTTGCTATCTCAGTGTATTCTATTACACTTTGTTGACACAAGGCTGAGAGCTATCATTAAAGGATTTGTCCTGCATGACTGATATCACAGTGGAGTGCCTGTTAAGTGAATAGTTTGCTTGACAGCTCTATGTAGCAATAGAATAAAAATGTTTTGTTCTCACAAGGAAAGGGATTAAGCACTTAAATGAAATGTTTGTTTTCAAAGGTGATTAGTTGAAAAAATGTCAATGTATTGAATGGTTTTGTTATCAATAAATGTGTTCATTTAATTAGACATCAATATCAAAAGACATAATTTTTTTTCATGTCAGCATGTCTCTTTTGGACTGCGCATGCTGGATACGGAGATAAGGGCAAAGGAAGATAATTTGGCATTGATGTAACATGGGGAGTGTTTAGAATGAGGGCCCATGAACGGTGTGGGCTGTTTTTGGTTTAAACACGTTTTAATAACTTCAACACAGTGTCACAGCACCGAGGCAGACCTTCTACACAGCTGCCTTTACTCCCAGAAGTGTGTGTGTGTCCACAAACTCATGCCAGGTTGTCCAGCCCAACTCCTAGGGAATTCCACCACCTGGGATGAAAAGCTACGCTTTCAGGGCACTTTTTCCCAGACTGGCATGGAGAGCTGGAAAGGGTCCTGCAAACTTTTCCGGTAGAACTTGGAGTATAGATAAAAAATTGAGGGTGTTACTGAGTTTAATGTTGAAATGCAAAACAAACGAATGTGAGCCAAGTTGATTGCAATGACAAATGGGTATGATGTTACATAGGTTGTAAATTCAAAATCATTCATTTATGCTGCTGACTAAAGCAAATTATTGCCTTTTGGCTGAAAGCTGAAAAATAACAGAAGACGGATATGATACAGACAGACAGAATATTGAATAGAGTGCCTTTGGGAGAACAGTATTGTATATAACAACAATAATACATGTACAGAAACTCAGACTAGTGACGTTTGCACTAAACAAAAATGGGTATTAAAACTAAGGAGGAAAGTCAGGAATTACAGGAATGATTACACTTTAGTATCAGATTGGATGAGTGAATTAAAACATGCTAAATGTAACTCGCTCATCTATAATAATTTTGCAATCCGTGTTACAAAACTCACAACATATCTGACTCAGGGTGAAGGAGCTCACAAAGCATTCCTCCAGCATAGACTCTGCAGCTGAAAAAACACATCACAAACTCTGTTATTTGCAATTTCTGCTTGTCAGTTTACTTATCAAGGCTTTTCATTCTAGTTATTAAAGGACCACATTTTGAAAAACACAGGTAAATGATCTTTAACTGTCACAGTCATGCTAACCTACAAAAACCACTAGATTCCATATCCTAAAAGTCTGCAGTTAAGATTCTAAACAGAAAGTTCTTGGAAAAGCATTAATTTACTGTTCACCCTTTGATGAGCTAAAAAAAAACAATTCCTTATTGAGCTAGATTTGGTTTTTCTGACTAAATATTTTAGCTTTAGAATTCTCAAGGACATGAACATCCCAAATGTAAATGCAGACTGTTATATTGTGATAATCAAGGCAGAATACTGGAAGTTAGAACTAAAATAGAAAGTGCTAGAGAAACTCAGCAGGTCTGACAGCATCTGAAGTGAGAGAATATTAATAACATTTCGGGTCTGATAGGACTCTTCTTCAGAACTGTGGTATTGCTGTTTTTGGGACTTTGCTGAGCATAAATTGACAGCTGGTTTTCCTATTTTACAAAAGGGCCTATGCTTCACTAAGTATGTAACTGGCTAGAAAGTGCTCTGAGATGGCTGTCCAAGTGTTTCCTTCCTTTTTGCAATCTCTACAAACTCTGCAACCTATAATCTTATTAGTTGAAAAGTTCCAGGACTTCAACACAGCCAAGATGAAGGTCAAAAAGTTTAAAAGGCAAATCATCATAATTTATTTAAATACAGTTCTTTGGCTGAGCTACGCCCAAAACCTAGTTCAGGAGGTTGATTTCATACAAAAGACAATATGGGGAAAACATTAAACCAATGATTTATTTGAGTCTGATCCAAACTGCATTGTGTATACAGCAGGGCTGTGACTACACACTTTACTCAAAGGTATATTTTTACCTCAAAATCCTGGTTCTTCTGAGAGTAGAGTCGACTGGCTTGTTGCTGCCATAGATATCAGTAAAAATATCTCCAGATATGTTAATGAGTTGACCTAACAGCCAAGAGAAAATTGGAATGAATGAAGGAAATATAAAAGTGAGCCCTGGTACACGGAACTTTTCACAACATTAACACAGGGACTATTTTCAAATTTGTGGGTTCAAGCCCCAATTTAGAGGCTGTGAGCTCCTAAATAGACTGGGACCAAAATAATGGCATCTTTTAGATGAGATGGTACATTGAGATTTTATCTGATCCCTCATAGATATGAAAATATCCCATGGCCACTGGTGAAGAACGAATTGGGTGGGCATGGAAAATGAGCCATTTGTGGTGACAGAGAAGCTGCAAAAGTTGGAAGATGCTGCATGATGCACAATGATTCTCTCCTTCAATTTGTCAGTAGGATAAACAGCAGTGAAGGAACAAACAAAAATACTCTGTAAGACAACAAACAGATCAGTAAAGGACTGAAATAAAATGACACAGAACCAGAGGGAATGAAAGGGTGTTATGGAAGATGGTAACAGAGATAGAAATGTAAATGGGAAGAACAGCTGAGGTGTGGTGTATAGAGGGACACCTGAGGTGAGGTGTATGGAGGGACAGCTGAGGTGTGGTGTTTGGAGGGACAGCTGAGGTGTGGTGTATACAGGGACAGCTGAGGTGAGGTGTATGGAGGTACAGCTGAGGTGTGGTGTTTGGAGGGACAGCTGAGGTGTGGTGTTTGGAGGGACAGCTGAGGTGAGGTGCTACTGAAACCATTGGATCACAATTCCCATGATGAGGGAGCTGCATTGTGGAGGAGTTTATTGACATTGCAGTGTTTCTTCAGCAAGCAATCGCAGAGGTTCTGTTTTGATGGCTCTTCAAGCTGCTGAACTGCGAAAAGTGGAGCCAGAAGTCATAAGAAACCTGAAGAGGCGTAGGTCCCAACAGTACATCCTGATACGCTCCCTGTTTTAATTTTAATGAATATCCGTGACACTTGCCAGATGGTTAAGATTCTAAACTGGCAAAGACTGACTCTACACCCTCCACCAGCTCAGGTACTGACATCTCAGTGGGTATTTTAGCTAGATTAGAGTCAGGAGCTGTGAGTCCTGAGAAAGAAACACCCCAGGTCACTGGCATTTGTAGGACTGCAGGATACCTGGCATCTGCTCAGTTTCAGGCAGGAGGGGAATTCCTGGTGTTGGCCATTCAAGACTTCATTGACAAGCACAAGCAGACATATGGGTCAGCAACTATTCATTTCACCCTTTTGTCCGTGGAAGCTTAATGGATAGGGATGAGTGTCTTCAGTGCCTTTAAGGCTTGCTGGACAGCTACACATAGACTATAGTGAAACATTTAACTTTTTACCTATACAATGAATCCACAGACAGATGTCATCCATGCTACCCAATATGCCCTCAAAAGATTTCTTCTTTCTTTCCCTCTCACTACATCTCAGAGTAGTTCTGTGTTCCACAACTGGGTTTGGAGGGACACCACCTGACAGCGGAGTCTGTTGGCCTTGGAGCGTTGGTCAGGTACCCTCTTTGGCAAAAATTCCCACAGGACTGAGGGTGGCAGACGAGGTGCAGGTGGAAGACATAGCTATTTCTGGAGTGTTCTGAGAGGAGACTTTGAGGGGCCTGGGTGTGATTCCTCCTTGACAGGATCCTTCCTGATACTCCCCCATCTCCTTGTGAGGAAGAGCACCTGGCAAGTTAAGGTTCTCCATCCCCTGCTATTGGTTCTGGGGACAACTGGCTCGGGCCATTAAGTCCTTTGGACTGGTGGATCCATCTCTCCCTGGCAGCCCCGTCACTGGAAGCAGCCAGACAAGTGCATTCTTGAGGCAGCAGGGTTGCTGTGGCATTGCTGCATTCCTGCAGTCATTGCACTATGGTGGCCATTTCCCTCCACAAACCTGCCTGCTCCCCTACGTGACTGCAACCTTTGCAACCAGGCACCTTCTCTGCTAGATGCACAGACATTGCTATTGCATCACAGGCATCAGTCAGGTCCAGCCAGTAGCCTGCTTTAAATGGTCAGCAGGATCTGAATTGAAGAGTTGGACTGCACACAGGAGGCTAATGCCCAATGGTCGCAAGGAAGATTGACCTTGCAAGTGTATTTCACCTTCAGTGTCTGGGTGTGGGTCTACTCAGTTGCTCTTTGAAGGGCTCCACATGGCTGTGACCTGCAGACCCCTCCATCATAGACTGTCTGGACTGACCATAGCCAATGCCTTCAGTGATTTAACTGGACAGCCCCGAACAATGAGTGACCAGACCCTTGACTGAGATTCATGCAACTCCTTGACTGTATTCCCATGACCCCCTGGATTGGCTGACTGTAACCCATTCTCTACACTGGAAAGGTACAGACCCACTCTGTGTGCCCTGACCAGAGCCTGGTTGTGCTCAAACCCCTAGACTGATATATCAGTGTCTGTCCTTCACTCTCTGCGCCAGGGTGCCTTGGCTGACAGATGCCTCCCACGAAATCAGTGAGGACTACTCCCCTAAGATTTTGAAATGGTAAGCAAATAAAGAGTTGTCAATAATGAGAAGGATCTGCTGGTGTGAAATGAAATGGTAAACCTTATTTAAAAGGAAAATTGGCTGCTTTGCTGAACCTCAACTGCATAACTCTTACTCAGATCCTGAACCATATGTGTTTGTCAATCAGTCTGTAAGTTTCATGGAAGTATCAAAATTGATCAGTCCTAGTATTCCCATTCCATTTACACAGGAAGGTGAAAAAGATATGTAAGTATTATATGGGGTATTTGGAAAAGTTTTTCTCTCCAACACAGTGTGGATGACTTATACAATTAATTAGAATGATAAAGTGGTTATGGCATAAATGGTGCTGTTTTGGCCCATCACATTTGTGATGCTCTGCTGTAGGAACAATTCATCAGTGCTATCCCACTGTACTTTTCTCATAGACATGAAGATTTCCTTTCCTTTTCAGAAAATGATCCCAATCCCTTTTGAATGTCTCAATTGAATATGCCTCCAGCACACTCTCGGGCAAAGCACTACACATCCTAACCACTCACTGCATAAAAAGTTTTTCCTCATGGCACTATTGCATTCTTTCCCAATCACTTAACTCTGTGCCCTCTGGTTCTTGATCCTTTGATGAAGAAGAACAGTTACTTCCTATTAATTCTATAAAAATGTAGGAACACAATTCCAGTGCAAACCTGGTAATCCAGACGATGGTGAAATCTTCTCAATGGTTGGCGTATAATGGTCTTCTGACTGTTAAAAGATAAGTCAAAAATTAAATACTGGCAATATCATGGTTTTGACATTGATTTGGAAGGTGGATTTTTGTAGCCCCTCTAGTTAATTTTGTGTTGAACAGTACAGGGAAGAATTGTATATGATCGGAATGAAAATTGAGTAGATCTATAAATAGGAGAACAAATTATTCCTTCAGATCACAACTAAAACAGCAAGAGTGAAACATGTAATCTCTACGTAAACAAAATGGAACACTAAGCTGATGTCTACTGATGAACAGTACGCTTTTCCGAAATGGGGAGCCAACAGTGGCTACAGCTAAAGCTTCAAATTCTAATTTTATTTTACATATTAATATCATTGTTTGTTTCTTATTTGGTTGATGCCTTGGATTATATTTATCAATAAAGGACATTATAGTAGCTGCACACTAAAGGCCAGGTCAGTGAGTACTCCATTATCTTGTAAACAATGTGAGTAAACGTGTTGCACTTACTTTAAAGATTAGCATCTTGATGGAATTAATTGGAACCCCATCTACACTCACTACAACCTGATAGCTGTCCTTTGGTAGTGGTCTTTAAAAAAAGGAAAAACATGCATGAAAACCAAGGGAACACATTTTAACACTACTTTTAATAAAACATCAGCAAAGTTATCACCATTGTTGCAGCCAGTCCCTGGGTAGAGGCTCCACTATTTGGTATGATTTCAGACTGGATACCATAGATCATTAAGACCCAATGAGGATGAACTGGCTCCCTTTCTTTCTTCACCTATGCTCTCCCTTGGTCTCAAGAACTTTAATTTAAGAAAAGGAAAGGAAATATGTGCAACATGCCTCAATAACTACTGTCTAGTGGCTCTGACCTTCCTAATCATGAAGTGCTTCGAGAGGCTGGTCACGGCCCACATCAACTCCAGTCTCCCAGCCTGCCTTGATACCCTGCAATTTGCCTACTGACATAACAGATCCACAGTGGACACCATTTCCCTAGACCAGCACTCATTCCTTGAACATCTGGATAACAAGGACACCTACATCAGGCTCCTACTCATCGACTATGGCTCTGCCTTCAACACTATAATCCCTACCAGACTAATCTCAAAACTCTGAGACCTTGGTCTTGGCTCCATCCTCTGCAACTGGATCCTCAGCTTCCTGACTCACAGACTGCAATCAGTGAAGACAGACAACTGCATCTCTTCCATGATAAACCTAAACACTGATGCCCATCAAGAATGTGTTCTCAGCCCCCTACTGTACTCCCTGTACATCCATGACTGTGTAGTCAAATTCCAAATGAACGCCATCTACAAGTTCGCTGATGACACCACCTTAGTGGGACAGATATCAAACGACGAGTCAAAATACAGAAAGGAGATAGAGGGCTTGGTGTGTGGTGCAATGATAACAATGTCTTTCTCAATGTTGGCAAAATAAAAGAACTAATCATCGACTTCAGGAATAAATGAGGAGGACACTATCTACATCAACGGAACTAAGGTGGGGAGGGTCAACAGATTAAGTTCCTAGGAGTGATGATAACCAACAATCTGTCCTGAATCTCCCACGTAGATGCGATGGTCAAGAAGACACAACAACGCCTCTTCTTCCTCAGGCGGCTTAGGAAATTCGGCACATCCATAAGGACCTTCATCAACTTCTACAACTGCACCATAGAAAACATTCTATCCAGGTGCATAACAGCCTGGTACAGCAATTGCTCTGCCCCGGACCATAAGAAACTACAGAAGGTGGTGTGCACAGCCCAGACCATCACAGAAGCCAATCTTCCATCCACGGACTCTATTTACATGGCTTGCTGCTGCAGAAAGGCTGCCAACATCATCAAAGACCCCTCCCACCCCAGCAAAGCTATGTTCCAACCTCTTCCAGCAGGTTGAAGATACAGAAGCTGGAACACATGCTCCAACAGGTTCAAGAATGCTTCTTTCCTGCTGTTATTAGACTGCTGAATGCACCTCTCTAACTTCAAATAATGTGGATCTTGCGAATGTTGATCTTGCTTTGTGCGTTTCCTGTGCAGCTGTAACCTTGTATGCTTCACTCTGTCTAAGCACCCTATGATCTGTATGTCCTTGTTTGCTAATATCTGCCTGTACTACTCACAAAGTAAAGCTTTTCACTGTAGTTAGGTACATGTGACTACAATAAATCAAATCAAATCAAATTCATGATCCCTTCAGCTTTCTTCCAGACCGAAGGAATTTCGGTTTGAAAGGGAGCCAATTTAATCCGACTTTCCTGAGTTAATAAAAAGGGAGTTATGAAACATGAAAATAATGGGTCATCTCTTCCATTTTAGTATTTCTGGTTGAAGTTTCCCGATTCTGACCAGGAGTGACATTCCAGAATTCCTCACCAGTCACTGAATATACATCACGTAACCCTTTGGTTACATCAATTTCTTTAAAAAAAAAATCACGTCACAGTTGAAAGTTAGTATGTCCCTAGGTGCTTCAGGTTATAATACATGGTCATGGTACTTCCCGTTTCCCATCCCCAACTGCATGAGGAATGAAATTAGATTTATTCCCATTTCTTTACAAAAGGCGTACAATCGATATAAAACTACAGGCGCATGCATTCACATATTCATGCCTCTACCCTTAGTCAATTACATCCCTTCATTTTGAAACAGCTTTCTCTGGGTCTGCACAGAACATTTAAATCGTATTTGATTTTTCAGCAATGTGGGTGATTTTTAAGAGTTTACAACTGAAGGAATAATCTCCAATTATAACAAGGTGGTGTTCTGGATCTCAAACTGCTCCATAAAGATCACAATCATTATGGACTGTGTCTCTCTGAAACGTTTCAGGCATATGACGTGTTTGTGAGCCAGCAATAAACCAAAGGTTTTCTTCTTACTGATGCTTATTCAGTTTTTTTGGAGAAGTACCTGATGACTCTCTCTGTTCCAGATTTATTATCAGGAAGGAGAGTAATTTCTATCCTGATGTCACTCACGTTTATGGTTGATTTAAAGGCTTGGATAAAATTCAAGCTTCAAGCACAGTCTCAGTTTTGCAAGTCATTTGTCATTTCTCAGTCCATATTATATTTACTTTTTTTCTGCAGTTGGTCTCTCAGCGGCACAGATAAGGTGTTGAAGTTTGAGATGAGCTTTCAGTGGCACCTGCACGTCCCCAAGAACCTTATATATTTCCAGTTTGTTGTGGGCATGTGGATCTGGGCTACTGCTTGTATGTTTACAGCCCTATCCTTGGCCCATTCCAAGTCCTATATAAATCACTTGGACCTTAGCAAACTCACTCCTTGTGAGATTGACCACTACATCAGCTGACTGTATTTTCTGGAGTTGCTATAAGTGCATTCCCCAACTGTGACTGTACACTCGGAAGTTGTTTAGATACACTACATAATTAGATCAGACTGCCACTATTTGAAAATCAGAATTTGAAAGATGGTTTGGGATGAATGGCATGACTCAACACTGGTATAACCCATCTAGAGCTGCGAAGCTGAAGAGTTCCTTCACACAGGCTGTCAAGGGAACCTGCCAGCACCCCTGAATGCTCAGGCAACTTTACAGGCTTATGGAGTGATTCTCAGAACTCTGTTATATTGTCTAACATGGAAACTTCCTTAAAAAAAATACCGTGGTCGCTGGGAATATGAAATAGAAACAAAGTGTTGGAGAAACTCAGCAGGCCTGATAGCAAACATGGAAAGAGAAACAGAGTTAACATTTCGAATCTAGTATGACTCTCCTTTGGATTTTTTATGCTGTAGACAGAAGGAGAGAAGGAGTAAGTGAAACAGATTGTGAAGGTACCAGAACAAAAGACAAAAGCAGTGATAATGGTCATAAAGGAGAAATAGATATGTGAAATAGATATAAATGTTAAGTGTGAAAAGGAGAAAATGGGTCCACTCTGCTGACAGCAAAGTCAACAAGACACAGCTGAAGGATGGTGGGCACATGAGAAAAATGGAGTATGGAGGTTGTACTCTGAACTCCCTATTGAGCGCTAGAGACTGTAAGCATCTAAGCAGAAAACTAAGTGTTGTTCCACATGGGGAAATGTGAAAAGAAATATGCAACACACAGATTAAGTGAGCCCAAAGGAAAAAGATAATCATTTAAAAAAATACACAAGTCAGGTCTGAGTCATTTGTGAAGGGTAGATAGCATGCTGTTGTGACCATTATGGTGGATGTGACTGATACCATTGACACTGGCTGTCCAACCCATGATTTTGTGATGCTTAGCTTTGTAAGCTGATGGAAATTCTTTTGTCTTGGTCTTTATGACAATTGCAGGATAAAAGATTCAGAGTAGATAGACCTTCACCTTTCTTTACCTGTAGTGCAAGGGGACTTACTGTGACCTTCACAGTACACACGAGTCCCCACACTAGAATGTTATGCCACCAGCACACACAGACCAGGTTTGAAGCTGATTTTTAATCTCCATTTTTTGTATATCCCTGGAAGGTTAAAACACAAACATGTCTGCAGGAGATGACACCCAGTGAGAGGGATTTGGGCAGTCAAACTATTGTTATCACTTCCATTTTAGACATTATGTTTCAGGTTTCTCTGACTCTGTACTGATGTGACATTATAGAATTTCTCTACAGAAAGCCACAGAATTTGCACTAGCAATCATCCATTGATTGTAACTCTTTTTAAAAATAAGTGCAGGTTGTAATGGAAAATTCAGTGTGTCCTTAGATGATCTCAGTTTATGATCAATGGTCATGACACCAGGAAAGGAAAGCAACATTTAAAATTCCTGTTTGATTGATTGGGTGTCTAAGGGATAGACAGTAAATACTGACATTGCCAGTGATGCCCAGATCCCATGAATTAAAGTCAATCCTACCTATCTTGCTATTTTTTAACAAGGTAATGAGTTATCTAACCTTTAGTAATCCAATTCCTTATGAACTGCAGTATGATCCTGCATAGAGAGTTTGAAGGTATCTACCTGGTGTAGCAAATAATCTGTGTGTCATGGCTGAAATCTTTCTCTACATCGCAGGGGATGGACCTGGATTCCGAAAGGAGTTGCACCTTGTTGCCTAGTTGTCCATTTCCTCCTGTGTAATCAAATGGCCTTTCTCCCAAAAAACCTGTGTAGACAGCCGAAATATATTAGAAGTAGCAAGACAGAGGATCATCGAGCAGGTAGAGGAATCTTCCTTACCTTGTCCTTTAATTGTCAGCCTGGTTGCTCCGTTGATGCTGCCGTGGTAAGGAGTGATATCCAAAACAATGGGAGCACTTTGTGAAACTAGGAAATAAATAAATACATAAATTTTATGGGAATCCACCTATCAACAATTAAACAAACAAGTAACTAGACGGGAAGTTAATGTAGGTGGATACTACAGAAGCAGAGAGATAGTAGTCAGACTGACAGGTCGATAGTTATTGAAGAGAGAGTAGCTAGATTGATGGATCACTAGTACTAACTGTCACTTAAATTTGTTCAAATTCAGATTTAGTTCGAATTCAGATTTAATATTTTGATAAAATGCAGGTTAACAAAAATGATTTAGAAAACCAGCAATCCACTTGCTAAACATAGGCAGTGATTTGTGCTAACATTTGGCTGTTTTGAGCTGATCTGCAATTACCTGCATTGGTCAGTGACCAGAGACTCAGAACAATGGCCACGCCCCATTGCACTGACTGGCCCTTCATGTTATCCCACAGCTCCTGTTCCTCCCTTGGTATCTGTCTGTTGGGAGGAGAAAGAGTACATCAGGCTACGTGCTCACAGATTACACACAACACTGTCTTTGAATTATTGCCTCCTTCTACTTTATCTCAAACATTTCCCCATTTGCTATCCCCTTTTTCCCAAAAGCCTTGCACTTTCTATTAACCTGTTAAACCTCCAGAACTAATCAAACATCATCAACCTGAAATGTTAAACCTGTTTCTTTCTTTAGATATTGACAGATCTGCTGCATATTTTCTGTTATTTTATCATTCCAGAGCTGGATGGCTTTAAATTATTAGTGTAATAAGTAGTTTTTAATTGAAGGGTCACATAAAAATAATTTCTTGTGTTTGTTCTGAATTTGTTAAAGAAAAACTCATATGTTACAATGCAACACAAAAGATTTTTGAGGAAGATTATAGGTCATGGACTAAAAGGGACTGGGCAATGTGGATTTGAATTCAGCTAAGGCATAGAAAACTAGAAATAATTGTTAATGGGTATTTTTCGGGCTGAAAGAAAGCTTGTAGTGGAATTCCCCAGGGTCGATATTGGAATCCTTGCTTTTCCTAATTTCTATAAATGATCTAGGTCTTGGCCTGCAGGGAACAATTTCAACATGTGTGGATGACACAAAACTTGGAAGAATTGTAAACTGTGAGGAGGACAGTGACATTGACACATCGGTAGATTGGGTGGATGGGTGACAGATGAAGTTCAATGCAGAAATGTGTGAGGTGACATGTTTTGGTACAAGGAACATGGAGAGACAGTACAAAATAAAGGCTACCTTTCTAAAATTTGCATAGGAGCAAAAAGACCTGAGTATATACACACACAAACAATAAAAGGTGGCAGGATGGTAAAGAGAACTGTTAAAACAAGCATGTAATATTTTAGGCTGAATTATTAGGGGCATAGATTACAAAGCAGGGAGGTTATGCTAAAATTAAGTAGACCATTGGTTAGACCTCACCTGGAGTATTATGTACAGGGGAAGCTAGAGAGGAGATTGCAGGGCCTTTGGCTTTGATCTTTATGTCGTCATTGTCTACAGGAATAGTGC